TTCTTTAAAAAAAAGAGATTTTATTTGGTGTTAATAACAGAATACTAAGAAACAACATCTAACAAACAATAATAAGTTCTATATAGACACACTGTTAGGAATTCCTTTACCAGTGAGTCCCTCTTCACTTGTGGGGAAGAGGGAAGTATATGGAACTTTAACAGGCCCTGACCTATTCTTCCATTTTTTATGATCACTATTCATCTGTAAAATCTGATTCCCGATATCACTCAGCTTCTTTCCAAACCTCTCAAAAGCTAAAAGTGGTTCTTGATCCTTTGTCCATTCAGGTGAGTCCCTCTGTCCGAGGTAAAGTGTATCCGAACTATGCCTTGACAAGACCTTTAAGATGGAAATTTCAAGCAGTGTCTGCAGCGGAGGAACGGTTGTTTTGAGGAATACCTTATCTGGATTTGTCTTGAGCTCTTCATATTCAGGACTTCCTGGTTCTGGCATGAACATTCGGCTTAAACTAGGGCGATTAAGGAGGTAACCAGCATAAGGGTATTGCCCAAAATTGACTGCGGCATGAAGTGCTGAAGCTATCCATATTGTGATGGTGCAAGATTCTATGAGCTCTTGTCGAGTTTGCATTTTAGGCCACCAAGGCTCATCTTTCTTGTCACCATGTCCTTCTTCGCGGAGTTCCTTCCACCATGCCTGGAGTTCACTGTCTTTCTGTACCGTGTCATCTGATTTGTAATAGAAGTTGCAGTATTCTGTCACCCAACTTTTGATTGCTGACCAGATTTTTAACCCATCAACAGCATATGGATAGTCTTGAATTAGTAAGCGAATGCCATGTGGGGAGCTCGAGTCCTCAACGGCCATTCCCCTGAAAGTCAGTAAATTATATTGTATTAGTGAATTTATATAGAGATGATTGAGAATAAAGGTAATAAGTGCTTTGTGTCTTTTCACTAACCTTTGGATGAGATCAGCAGGAAGTGCTTGTTCAGGGAAAATCCAGTCTTTGTAAACTACTGCTGACATTTCCATGGAATATTTAGCAGTAAAAAATGTCAACTCAACAGTTCCGGCACTATTGATCAACTGATGTCTTCCTAAAGCATTTATGTTCATCGTGTCACGAAAGTGAGGAAGGAGAAGCTTATGAATAGGGTGAAGCACACTTAATTGCCTATTTGTTGCAATCACAAATGGCTCAATCACCGCATGTGTATTCAACCTGAGAAGGTAATAATAAATGTATCCAATTACTTTTACACAAATCATATATTGAATTTGGTTATGGGTAAGTTGTGTTTTATATAAAGGTTTTTGACAGATTTTACCAGTGACTGATGAGCTCATGAATGCCCGAGTCATTCACTACTGCATAGGCTTTGGCCAACTGCCAGATAGAACCTTCAACACCTTTATCAGATGGTGTATACACTTTGCTAACAGTACCAAATTGATCTCCATCTGGATGTGGCAAACTTAGTTCAATTGCCAGTGGCTTCAAAGTTCCATTATCTTGCAAGAAAAGCAAAGTTCTTGAGGCATAAGTTTCTGTGTTTGTCGTCGTGTTAATTCTCCTCAAGTATGGCATAACAATGTCATGGTGGTTCAATATGAATAGCATGTTAGCCTTGATTGCCTGTTAAATATTGCCAACTCTTTGTCAACAACTAACATTTGTCACTACAATCTTCTCACTTAAGTTGAATGAGCAATTTAGCTAGTATCAAGCTAAAATTATTAATTACCTCATCAACTGTTAGTCCATCCAACTTATCCTCTATCTGCTCTCTGGTAATTGTACTGTTTTGGTTGCCATATATGTTAGGATCCAGATTGCTTTTAGGAGGAAATTCCTACAGATATTAGGTAAGCCAGCATCTTCAAAATGTGTAAGAGATAATCACAATATTAGAAGTAAACTTAAGCAAGATCTTGATATCCTCAAAGAGTAGCAATTCAGATGAATTAAAGCTTACTTGGAGTCTAGTGATTAAGACGGGATTGATTCCCGCCAACATTTCTCTCCCAAATTCTTCATCCGTCCTCCATGCAGTTTTATCCTCTAAATACACCAATATTTAGATTACCAAAGGTGAGGTCATAAAAAATAATACTTTTGATCATGCAGAAATTAAGATAAATACCTTGAATAACTTGAGGAGTTGGGAACTTGAATAGGCCTTCACCATCAGAATGAAAGATGTCTTTTAGAATCTCCAAAGGAATACTATCATTAATGTCTTTCAACAAAGGGCCTTGAGGAAACTTGATTCCTCCTTCATAGAGTTTGAGTACATCCTCAAAGCTATCAAACTCATTAGGTGTGTTATCGAACAAAGCCTTAAATGCAGGGAGAAGTGACTGCACAATGGATTTTAAGTAAAATGTCAAGAAGTCTGACATCTTCAGATGACCAAATCGCTCGTCCCTTGGCACATATACGTCTAAGCTCATGAACAATGGAATCCTGCTCTCGCAATTAGGATCTGCAAGCAATTGCAAGACAATTTGCTCTTCAAGAAAATCAAATACATGAAAATGCAGATATTGAAAAAGTTGTGAATGTCTTCACCTGTTTTTGTTGGTTCGCGGCCTGTCCTGCCTCTACGAGGATACGGGTATTCAGAGGACCCTCCAAGAACAGGCCTAGCATACTCTTCGCCTTTATCTGGATCACCTAAGTCATTATAGTAAGCATAATCATAAACCCTGTCCCATTCCTCTAGCTTTCCAGTCCCATCTCCTCTTAAGGTCACTAGTTCGTTTTCTCTGTACTTCCGCAACGGTTCTGGTGTTTCACTTGGGAGATAAGCCTGAAGAACAGACCATAAATATGACAATGCAAATATGTGTTTAGACACATACATTCTTTATGAATGAATTAAATGTACCTGATTCGCAAAGAAAATGCGGTCAGACTTGTATCTAAAAGCAGGATAAACCCAAGAATTGCATACAAAATGGATTTTTCCGTGATTAGGAACGTCTTCGAGTGTGAGTGACTTGAGGAAGAATTCATTAAGATGAAAATTCTTGATGATGAATGCTCCTGGAACTCCAAACTCGTTGCGATCCCAGTCAAATGTAACACTGAAAGTTGATTCCCCTGCTATTATAGGGGTGATGTTTGTAAGCCAATTCTCTAAGTATGCTGGATTGCTGCGTTTCCCTTCTGAACCATTTTCTGCGAATGAAACAGATACATTTCTGTTTTTATATTTTTAATACTTCACTAAAAAAAATGTGAGAAGTAATACTGACCAAGATCATCAAAAACAGAACTACTGATCAACTGGAAAGACACCTTCTCGCCAAGGAGTTCAACAACTTCATCAACAACCGCGGCCTTTATGTCAGTGAAGTCTAAAACATTCTTCTTCATCAACACAACTTTTCCTTTCACCTTTTGCCCGTAATCTTTTCCAATGATGGCATGCATAATCGTATTTTAAGAAATGAATTTTTTTTTATATTTTCTTGAGCTTCCAACAGAACAAAAGAAAGCAGAGAGAAGTTACTTTGTTTCATATTTATATAGCACAAATTACTAGCTGTCTAGCCGTTCCTATTTCTGTAGATCTTTTAAAATAATAGACATTTGTAGCACATGATGGATAGTAACATTTTCAATTTTTATTATTTAACTATGATTAAATATGTACATATATTATGCTTTAATCAAAGTATTGGTGTACGTTAAAATGTTAAATTGGAGAAGAATATCTCAAATATAGAGGCAAACAAAGAGCAATGAAGAAGGGGAAGTGTGCGTTCATAATCTATATTCAAAACATAAAGTACGAACTAACTTCTGTTTTTTTTTTGCTTCTCATGAGTGTAATTTTTGGAGGTTTATGTGTTGCTTCTCTTTTTGTCTTCCTTATAAAGATTTGTCTTCATGGTAACTTCCGTCTCTGTACTTGGCATATTTATTGGAAATACTCAACATATAAAATATGCAAGACTTAATTTGGATCTTATGTATTTTCTCATAATTTTTTTATTTATTTTAGCCATAAATGTTAAATTGATCGTATGTTATATCGATCAACTCTTGCAAACAGTGGCGGAGCCAGAATTTTTAATTAGGAGTTCAAAATCTGAAGAAATAGACACACGAAGTAGCCTAAGGGGGTTCAACATCTACTATATATACATAATAAAATATTTTAACCATGTAAAAATAATATAATTTTCCGCCGAAGGGGGGTCGGATGATCCCCCAGGGTGGCTCCACCACTGCTTGCAAATATTACTTACAACAAAAAATATTTTTTCCAAGAATATCTCTTGACAGTAGTAAATAAAATACAAGATGGCATTGATGGATTTCAGCATTAAATTTTGCTTAAATGATGAAATGAACAAATTTCACCACTTGATGTGTGATCGTACCATCGATATGATTTTAGAGCTCATTGCTATTTTCTAGCTAGTGACACCTTTTAGGGATATAACATATTATTTACGCGATCTGCTGGTAGGTCTGAATATGCTAAGGGTATTAAGGTGCCACATCGATGGTCATTTAAGTTAATGTACAATATAGACTTTTATACACCAAGTTAAGCAAACGAAAATTCAAGAGCTTGACATCTGAATGACAGAGAGTGAACTAGCTAAGATTACAAGATTAGTACTTGTGTGGTGTATTAATCTGCTTTAGACAAGGAAAATTTATAATATGGAGTATTTTAGGGGTAGTTTAGATTTTTTAATACACTAGTGGAACGTGTGTTGCACGTTCATTTTTATTATATTTACGTACCTTTTTTCCAATGCACACATCAATTTTAGTTAGAATCAGGGGTTGAAACTGAAGAGTTGGGCATAAATATGAAAAATTCGAAAAACTGGACCCATGGTTCTTGGATACTTTGGTCCTGAGTTGATTTTAATTTTTTTAGAAGTCGGTAGATGTAAATGTTAACTTGTTAGTCTAAAATCTATTTTAGCTTATTAAAATGTTTTAAGTAGCCATTATTTGGAACAAAGAGTTTATTTAGTGATATTATTGGGAATTAATAAGAAGAAACAAGCACAACAAGGGGATTCAATACTAAGTTTTATATAGACACACTGTTGGGAATTCCTTTGCCTGTGAGTCCCTCTTCACCTGTGGGAAAGAGCAAGGTATATGGAACTTTAACAGGCCCGGACCTGTTCTTCCATTTTTTATGATCACCATTCATCTGTATAATCTGATTCTCGATATCACTCAGCTTCTTTCCAAACCTCTCAAAAGCTAAAAGTGGTTCTTGATCCTTTGTCCATTCAGGTGAATCATTCTGCCCCAGGTAAAGTGTATCCGAAGCATGCCTTGACAAGAGTTCTAAGACGGACATGCCAAGCAGTGTCAGCTGCTGAGGAACCACTGTTTTAAGGAATACCTTGTCTGGATTTATCTTGAGTTCTTCATATTCAGCACTTCCAGGTTCTGGCATGAATTTTCGGCTTAAACTAGGGCGATTAACAAGGTAACCACCATAAGAGTAATTCCCAAAATTGACTGCGGCATGAAGTGCTGAAGCTATCCATATTATGATGGTGCAAGAATCAATGAGCTCTTGCAAAGTTTGCATTTTAGGCCACCAGGGCTCATCTTTCTTGTCACCATGTCCTTCTTCGCGAATTTCCTTCCACCAGGCTTGGAGTTCATTGTCTTTCTGTACAGTGTCATCTGATTTGTAATAGAAGTTGCAATATTCTGTTACCCAAATTTTGATCGTTGACCAGATTTTCAAACCATCAACAGCATATGGGTAGTCCTGAATCAGCAAGCGAATGCCAAATGGGGATATCGAGTCCTCAACAGCCATTCCTCTATAATTGAGTAATATTAAGGTCATGTTAGCAAGACGAAAAAACATAAAAATACCTGTTTTAGTGAATTTAAGTTCTGTTTTTAGCACAGAGTAGGCGATTTTTGTGGCTTTTCATTTACCTTTTGATGAGATCAGCAGGAAGTGCTTGTTCATTGAAAACCCAATCTTTGTAAGCTACTGCTGACATTTCCATGGAATATTTGGCAGGAAAAAGGAACTTCTCAATAAATCCATCACCATTGATCAAGGTTTGTCTTGCTAAAGCATTTATGTTCATCGTATCATGGAAATGAGGTTGGAGAAGCTTATGAATAGGGTGAAGCACACTTAGTTGCCTATTTGTTGCAATCACAAACGGCTCCATCACTGCATGTGTATTTAACCTGGACAATGTAATTACAAGAAATGTTTCCGGTCACTATTACTCACCACATTGAATTTTGTTTTGGATAAGTTGTGTTACATATAACACATGTTTTACCAGTGACTGATGAGTTGATGAGTGCCCGAGTCATTTACTGCTGCATAGGCTTTGGTCAACTGCCAGATAGAACCTTCAACACCTTGATCAGAAGGTGTATATACTTTGCTAACAATACCAAATTGATCTCCATTTGGATGTGGCAAGCTTAGTTCAATTGCTACTGGCTTCAAAGTTTCAGTATCTTGCAGGAAGAGAAGAGTTCTTGAGGCATAGGTCTTTGTGTTTGTCGACATGTTAATTCTCCTCAATAATGGCATAACGAAGTCATGGTGATTCAATATGAATAACCTGTTTGTCTTGATTGCCTGTTAAATAAGAGTACCACCTTTTGTTGTTACAATCTTCTCAGAGGACTTGATTGAAGAATCTAGCTAGTATAAAAAAAAAAAAGTAGTAATTACCTCATCAACTGTTAGTCCATCCAACTTATCCTCTATCTGCTCTCTGGTAATTGTACTGTTTTGGTTGCCATATATGTTACGATCCAGATTGCTTTTAGGAGGAAATTCCTGCAGATATTAGATAAGCAAACATCTTCAAAATACGTATGGGATAATCACGAAAATAGAAGTCAACTTAAGCAAGATCTTGATTTCTTCAGAGTAGGAATTCAGATGAATTAGAGCTTACTTGGAGTCTACTGATTAAGACAGGATTGGTTCCTGCCAACGTTTCTCTCCCAAATTCTTCATCCGTCCTCCATGCAAATTTATCCTCTACACAGAAAGGTGAAGGCGTGAGAAACAATACCTTTGGAAATGCTTTTAATTTGATCATGTAGAAATTTAAATAAATACCTTGAATAACCTGAGGAGTTGGGTACTTAAGTAGGCCTTGACCATCAGTTTGAAGGATGTCTTTTAGTATCTCCGAGGGAATGCTATCAGTAATGGTTTTCAACAAAGGGCCTTCAGGCAACTTGATTCCTCCTTCATAGAGTTTAAGTACATCCTCAAAGCTATCAAACTCATTAGGCGTGTTATCGAACAAACCCTCAAACCCAGGGAGTAAGGTCTGCATAATGGATTTTAAAAAAAATGTCAAGAAGTCTGACATCTTCACATGACCAAATCGTTCGTCCCTTGGCACATATATGTCTAAGCTCATGAGTGATGGAACCCTGCTCTCGGAATTAGGATCTACAGAGAATAAAGAGCAACTGTCAATACAATTTTCTCTTCTAAAAAATCTCACATAAAATGAAAATGGTAAATGTCTTAACCTGTTTTGGTTGGTTCACGGCCTGTCCTACCTCTACGAGGATACGGGTACTCAGAGGATCCTCCTAGGACAGGCCTGGCATACTCTTTGCCCTTGTCTGGATCACCTAAGTCATTGTAATAAGCATAGTCATAAACCCTGTCCCATTCCTCAAGCTTTCCGGTTCCATCTCCTCTTAAGGTTACTAGTTCGTTTTCTCTGTACTTCCGCAACGGTTCTGGTGTATCACTTGGGAGATAAGCCTGAAGAATCGTCCATTATGATATGTATAGACACTTGGGAGATAAATCTTGTTACGTGCCTAATAAAAAGATTAGTCATATCATACCTGATTCGCAAAGAAAATGCGGTCAGACTTGTATTTAGAAGCAGGATAAATCCAAGAATTGCAGATAAAATGGATTTTGCCATGATTAGGAACATCTTCAAGTGTGAGTGACTTGAGGAAGAACTCATTAAGATGAAAATTGTTGATGATGAATGCTCCTGGAACTCCAAACTCTTCATGATCCCATTCAAATGTAACACTAAAAGTTGATTCCCCTGCTATTATTGGGGTGATGTGGGTAAGCCAATTCTCTAAGTATGCTGGATTGCTGAGTTTCCCTTCATGTAATCCATTTTCTGCAAATGCATTTGTAATTAGAATAATTTAATACTTTACTAAACTAGAGATTAAGAAGAGAAGAAATACTGACCAGGATCATCATGAACAGAACTACTGATCAACTGGAAAGAGACTTTCTTGCCAAGGAATTCAACAACTTCATCAACAACTGAGGCCTTTATGTCAGTGAAGTCCAAAACATTTTTTTTCATCAACACAACTGTTCCTTTCACCTTTTTCCCAGTGATGGCATCCACAATCTTGCTCAGAAACATGATTAGTCTCTTCAAAAGAAAGCAAACAGAATTTTTGTTGTGAAGTTACTGAGTTTGGATGTCTCATATTTATAGCACTAAAGAATACTGGCTGTCTACCGTCCCTATTTCTGTAGATCTTTAAAAAATTAAACAGTAGATATTTGTAGCACATGATGGATATCAACATTTTCAAACTGCCCCCTTTGTTCTTTGATTTATGAGCAAAAATGTTACCAATTTCAAATTTATTCGGTGCGCTTATGTGACTTTCAATTTATTTTTATAGAATTTAAAAATCTACCTAATTATTCATTACAAACTTACTGAGTTACTGTTATAACTTTATATAAAAACCTATGATTTTATTTTTAAAAACTATAAAAATCGATTCGATACAATTCAATTCCATCCGTTAAGTAGAATTTTAGAAAACTATTGACACCCCCTTGCTTAAACCACCGCCGTAAACTCTTCACACATATATACTTAGTTATTTTCTATAAGTGACTAAGTTATCATCATAATCATAATTTGAAGTTAAATATTGAAAAATTAATACACCCTCTGTCCCAATTTATGTGACTTACTTTCCTTTTTAGTCACTCCCAAAAAGAATGACACATTTATATATTAAGTAACAATTTAACTATAAAATGTTCATTTTACCCTTAATAAAATGATTTATAGACACACAAATTTCTATCATTCATTTTGGACCACAAGTTTTAAAAGTCTTCCATTCTTTCTTAAATTTTGTGCCGAGTCAAACTACCTCACATAAATTGGGACGGAGGGAGTAATAGAATTGCCAGATTGGGGTTCACTTATCTTTTCTTTCCGCAAAGTCTTCCAAAGTTAGCTTTGCTTTAGAAAATCGCCTAACCCATCAGTGGACCCTAAAGTTGGCACCGACTTTTTTTTAGATATCTTAACTAGACTTTGTTCATTTTAGACCTCTCATGTAAGCTTCCGTTTGTCATTTTGACACTTTTTGCATACACGTCATAGAGAGTGTGATACACTCATTTATTGCGCGTGAAAAGCTTGTTTAATCAATTTTATTTTATTTTTCTTCCCCATTTTCAGCCTCCATTTTTCAAGCTTAACTCCATCCATGACAAATGTTTTAAAATTTTAAGAAAAGACCTATTTCAAGATTTAAATATTGAAGTAATCATGAAATTCTTTTTTGAGGAATTTACTATTGTAATATGGAAGTGAATTTGATTTTTCCTCTTCCTTCACAGGCCTCAAACGTTGCTTTCTTATTTATTTTTTCTAGTTAATTTTAATGATTTCCATTCAATTTTACTGTTTTGTTATTGGTTAAGAAGAATCTGAATCCATGACTTAGCTTTATTCTTCTATAATAAAAGGGTTGGGGTATGATTGAGAAGGGTTGCGGGGGGAGATAGCGTTTCTGCAAAATAGTTATTTTGGAGAAGACAATGAGAAGGCCGCAAAATATTTTTTGTTAATTGGTTAAATATTTTTTTTGAATTGATTATGTGGGCAAAAATGCCATATATCATTATTTAAGAATGATTTTGGGCACAAATGACAAATGTCGTCATTTAATTGGATTCATTACACGTCATTCGTGAATGCATTACACACATTACATATTTTTGCTGATTGTAAAGAAAGTGTCAAAATAACCCAATAGGAACTTACATAAAGTGTCTAAAATGAACAAAGTCTAGTTAAAGTGTCTTAGTGAAAGTTAGTGCCAATTTTAGGGGGTCACCGATGGATTAAGCCTTAGAAAATTGTGCTACATCCATGGTCATTTAAATTAACATATAATATAGACTTGTATCCTTATGCACCAAGTTAAGCAAACGAAAACTGTAACTTTGTAGTTTTGATGATCCTAACAAACAATGGGACCTGATCCCATGAGTACCATATGTTCCTGGAACAAATGGAGGACAGCTGTAAAAGTTGTCAACTCTGTCATGGTTGGTGCACAGGAAAAGAGGACAGACGCTCAACCAATGAGAATGCACTATGTCGTTTGTTCATACAAGCATATACCTTGGATGATATGAAACAACCTAGTTCACACACACTCAAGCATTTTCGAAATAGGTGTTTTTTCTCTCACAAGAAAACAACAAGTTTTCAAGAACTGCAAGGGACCTGATAGAGTTATCAAGCGTGTCTTCAGTTTGTTCATCAGAAAGTTTGTGTCTTTTGAATCTTAACTTGTAAGATCTATTCCTAATCTATAAACGAATTTAGATCGTGTCATTTCTATTCCAGTTGACAATGAGCATAGTTAGAGTTAACCGTGTAGTGTGCGATTGAAGTCTATATTAACTAGAGTTAGTAGATATTGCTTTGGCTCAGTCTATAATAGAGTTGTTACATGTTGTAGGATTGAGAGTTTAATCTTTGTGTGATTATTGGAGTCTGTAATCACTTGTTTCTTGAAGATAGTGAAGAGCAGTTGGTAAATCCTGTGGGATAGGTCGTGATTTTTCCTTCCTTGAGCAAAGAGGTAGGAGGTTTCCACTTAAACATCCTTGTTATTTCATTATGTACTTTATCTTTTACTGTGTTCTAGTGTGTCAAGGACCTGGTCCTATAAACTGTGGTGGACTCATAAAAGTTATCAAATATCCAAGAGATTGAGATCTGAATAACAGAGTAACCTAGCTAAGATTAGTACTTGTGTGGTGTATTCTTAATCTGATTTCTTCTTCATCAAAACGGACAAGGAAAATTTATAATATGTGGTATTGAAGGGTTAGTTTAGATTTTTTAGTACACTAGTGGAACATGCTTTGCACGTATATTTACTTTTTTTGCGAATGCCACACATCAATCTTAGTTAGAAAAACTGGACCCATGGTTGTTGGATACTTTGGTCCTGAGTTGATTTTATTTTTTAAAAAAGTTCGGTAGACGTAAATGTTAACTTGTTAGTCTTGTTTATTTTTCTTAAAATCTATATTTTAGCTTTTTAAAATGTTTAAGTAGCCATATATATAGATAATAGAATGATCCCAAGTCCCAACCATTACAGACAACTTGGACACATGGCATGAATCACATATAGTAGTGAACTACTAGACTAGATTTTTTTAAATAATCCATCCACATGAAACTATCACCTCCTGTGGTGGTGAGAGTTTGGTGTGGACCTCTACCATATAGATGAAACTTACTTATTTTTTCTCAAACCTATAAACAATTTAAAGGTTCGCCTGTGAGGCTGACTACAGTAGACCGGAAGGTTACAAGTCCTATTTCAATTTCCAGGAGTGAAAAGGGAATTAAGATGCAAGAAGCAAAAGATTCTTCTTAATTCCTGCAATTGTGCCAATGTATCAACATGATCTAAAATTACTATAGTTCAAACATATATAACTAAAAAAATTAACTAAATGCATGTGATTGCCAAAAGATGTATATATAACAAGAAAAGAAAGGTTTATTAATTAATTGTGTGCAAGTCTTATGGATATAGCATACAACTCGGACAGCATTACACCCATTGGAAGTAGAACTTCTTTTGGAACAAAGAGTTTATTTAGTGACATTATCGGGAATTAATATCAAGAAACAACCACAGCAAACAGATTCAATAATACGTTTATATAGACACGCTGTTAGGAATTCCTTTGCCGGTGAGTCCCTCTTCACTTGTGGGAAAGAGCAAAGTATATGGAACTTTAACAGGCCCTGACCTGTTCTTCCAATTTTTATGATCACCATTCATCTTCATAATTCGATCCTCGATATCATTCAGCTTCTTTCCAAACCTCTCAAAAGCTAAAAGTGGTTCTTGATCCTTTGTCCATTCAGGGGTATCCCTTTGTCCCAAGTAAACCTCATCTGAAGCATGCCTTGACAAGATCTCTAACACGGAAATTCCAAGCAATGTCTGCAACTGTGGAACGATTGTCTTGAGGAATACCTTGTCTGGATTTGTCTTGAGCTCTTCATACTCAGCACTTCCCGCTTCTGGCATGAACTTTCGGCTTAATGTAGGGCGATTAACAAGGTAACCACCATAAGGGTATTGCCCAAAATTGACGGCTGCATGAAGTGCTGAAGCTATCCATATTATGATGGTGCAAGAATCTATGAGCTCTTGCACAGTTTCCATTTTAGGCCACCAGGGCTCATCTTTCTTGTCACCATGTCCTTCTTCACGAATTTCCTTCCACCAGTCTTGGAGTTCACCGTCTTTCTGTACTGTCTCATCTGATTTGTAATAGAAGTTGCAATATTCTGTTACCCAACTTTTGATTGCTGACCAAATTTCCAGGCCATCAACAGCATATGGATAGTCCTGAATCAATAAGCGAACGCCATGTGGGCAGGTCGAGTCCTCAACGGCCACTCCTCTATAATTGAACAACATAATGGTCATGTTAGCAGGATGACAAAAAAAGAGAGGTTATTTTAGTGAGTTTATGTTCTGTATTTAGTACAGAGTATGCGATTTTAGTGGCTTTTCAATTACCTTTTGATGAGATCAGAAAGAAGTGCTTGTTCAGGGAAAACCCAATCTTTGTAAGCTACTGCTGACATTTCCATGGAATAATTTGCAGGAAATAGAAACATCTCAACAAAACCACCACAATTGACCAAGATCTGTCTTGCTAAAGCATTTATGTTCATCGTGTCACGGAAATGAGGATGAAGAAGTTTATGAATGGGGTGAAGCACACTTAGTTGCCTATTTGTTGCAATCACAAATGGCTCCATCACAGCATGTGTATTCAACCTGAGAAGGTAACAACAAAATGTCTCCAATTACTAAAATAATACATTGAATTTGGTTATGGGTAAGTTGTGTTTCATTTAAAACTTTCTAACAGGTTTTACCAGTGGCTAATGAGCTGATGAATGCCCGTGTCATTCACTGCTGCATAGGCTTTGGCCAACTGCCAAATAGAACATTCAACACCTTGGTCAGCTGGTGTATATACTTTGCTAACAGTACCAAATTGATCTCCGTCAGGATGTGGTAAACTTAGTTCAATTGCTAGTGGCTTCAAAGTTCCATTATCTTGTAGGAAGAGCAGAGTTCTTGAGGCATAGGCTTTTGTGTTTGCCGACATGTTAATTCTCCTCAAATATGGCATGACGATGTCATGGTGGTTCAGTATAAATATCTTGTTAGTCTTGATTGCCTGTTGAATAATAGTAGCAGTTTTTGCACTACAATCTACTTAGAAAACTTGATCAAAGAATCTAGCTAGTATCAAAACAAAAGGAATATACCTCATCTATTATTAATCCATCCAACTTATCCTCTACATGTTCTTTGGTAATTGTACTGTTTTGGTTTCCATATATGTTAGTATCCAACTTGCTCTTCGGAGGAAATTCCTGCAGATATTAGATAAGCCAATATCTTCAAAATGCGTAAGGAAATATCAAGAAAATAGAAGTAAACATAAGCAAGATCTTGTATCCTCAAACAGTAGAAAGTTAGATGAATTAAAGCCTACTTGGAGTCCACTTATTAAGACGGGATTGATTCCCGCCAACATTTCTCTCCCAAATTCTTCATCTGTCCTCCAAGCAGTTTTATCCTCTACACACACCAACATATTTAGATTACATAAGGTGAAGACATGAGAAATAATACTTAATGAAAATGCTTTTGATCATGTAGAAATATAAATTAATACCTTGAATAACTCGAGGAGTTGGGTACTTAAGTAGGCCTTGACCATCAGTTTGAAGGATGTCTTTTAGTATTTCCAAAGGAATGCTATCAGTAATGGCTTTCAACAAAGGGCCTTGAGGCAACTTGATTCCTCCTTCATAGAGTTTAAGTACATCCACAAAGCTATCAAACTCATTAGGTGTGTTATCAAACAAAGCCTTAAACGCAGGGAGAAGCATTTGCATAATGGATTTTAAAGACAATGTCAAGAAGTCTGACATCTTCACATGACCAAATCGCTCATCCCTTGGCACATATATATCTAAGCTCATAAGCAATGGGATCCTGCTCTCGCAATTAGGATCTGCAGGGACCAAAAGCACAATTTGTTCTTCTAAAAATCAAATATGAAAATGCAGATAGTAAAACTTGAGATTATTATACTTGTTGAGTAACAAAAATAAAAAGTTTTGTGAATGTATTAACCTGTATTGGTTGGTTTGCGACCTGTCCTGCCTCTACGAGGATATGGGTACTCAGAGCATCCTCCTAGGATAGACCTGGCATACTCTTTGCCTTTGTCTGGTTCACCTAAGTCATTGTAACAAGCATAGTCATAAACCCTATCCCATTCTTCAAGCTTTCCAGTACCATTTCCTCTCAAAGTTACTAGCTCATTTTCTCTGTACTTTCGCAATGTTTCTGGTGTTTCACTTGGGAGATAAGCCTGAAGAGCAATGCAGATATGTGTTTAGATGCGTACATAATTAAGGTCTTGTTACATTCATTATGAATGAATTAAAGTACCTGATTCGCAAAGAAAATGCGATCTGACTTATATTTAAAAGAAGGATAAATCCAAGAATTGCAGACAAAATGGATTTTTCCATGATTAGGAACATCATCAAGTGTGAGTGACTTGAGGAAGAACTCATTAAGATGTAAATTCTTGATAATGAATGCTCCTGGAACTCCAAACTCATCGTGATCCCAATCAAATGTGACCCTAAAAGCCGATTCCCCTGCTATTATTGGGGTAATGTGTGTAATCCAGTTCTCTAAGTATGCTGGATTGCTGTGTTTCGCTTCTGAATCATTTGCTGCAAATGGGATAAAATTATGAAAGGAGTAAAAAGAAAGAAGCAGAGTAACAAAAGAAAGAGTAATGACCATGAACAGAACTACTGATCAACTGAAAAGAAACGTTCCGGCCAAGAAACTCAATAACTCCATCAACAACAGATGCATTTATATCAGTGAAGTCCAAAACATTTTTCTTCATCAAAATTACTGTTCCTTTAACTTTTTTTCCATCATCTTTTCCAGTAATGGTATCCACAATCTTGCCCAGTAACATGATTAGTTATTTCACGACAAATATTACTATATATATAAACCTAGAAGAGAACAGAGAGCTTTTGAAGGTTAGAGTTTTTTTCCAGTCTCATATTTATAGCAAAAACTAGTACACTTTCCGTTTGATTTTACATGTAATTTAGAAAAGAATTTTTTTTTGAAATTTGTAATCTAAAACAATTGATAGATAGATGTTTGTGGCGGCTATACATCATTTTATTAAAGTTAAATTGTTATTTAATATAACATTATGTTATTCGGAACTTTAAAAGAAAAGTGATTTATATTAAATGAGATCGAAGGAGTAATTGAAAATTTATACCATGTGAAATAATGATGTATATCAACGTTTTCAATTTTTCCAATTGCTTCTCTAATCTGTTGAATTATTTTTTGGAATATTTTTGTCTTCTTTTTTTGTCAAATTCCTTTTTATTTTTATTTTTTTGTTTGGGCTTCTACATTCAAATGCATCAATACTAATTTATATACGTGTATATGTGGTACATATGCAAACACATTGAAACTGAAATAAAATACTTATTCTGAGAGGAAAAATATGTGTTGGGACTTGGAGTATGTAAGTCAGCTCCTTTTGATACGTTGTACTCTTTCCGTTCAATTTTACTTACTCATATGATTAAGGGTGTGTTTGGTATGAAGGAAAACATTTTCCGGAAAATGTTTTTCAATTTTCTCATGTTTGGTTGGGTTAAATGTTTTGGAAAATGTTTTCCAAATCAACTCATTTTCCTCAAATTTAAGGAAAATGACTTCCCTTCAAAACTTAAGGAAAACATTTTCCAAAACTCTCTTCCAACTTCAAACTACAATTACTTTTTTGTTGAAAAAATCAATTTATTTTGTCCCTACCCTCAAACCAACCCCCAACCAACCCCCCCCCCCAAAAAAAAAAAATTGAGTTTGTTTTTAAAAAATATTTTCAACTTCAAAATTTTATTTTTTCACCCCTACACTCGATCCCCCCAACCCACCCACCCCCTACTCGCCACCCTACCCAAAAAAAATAATTTAAGTTTGTTTTTAAAAAATATTTTCAATTTCAAAATTTCATTTTTTCACCCTACCTTGACCCCTCCCCCGCCTCACGCACCTCCTACCCTGCCTCCCACCCACCCCACCACCAGCCCCCCCCCCCAAAAAAAAATTAATTTAAGTTTGTTTTTTAAAAAAATATTTTCAACTTCAAAATTTCATTTTTTCACCCTACCCTTGACCCCCCCCCCCCACCTCCTACCCAGCCCCCCTACCAGCCCCCCACCCCCAAAAAAAATTTAAGTTTGTTTTTAAAAATATTTTCAATTTCAAAATTTCATTTTTTCACCCCTACCCTCGACCCCCCACCCACCCCAGCCCTACCAGCCCCCCCCCCCAAAAAAAAATTAAGTTTGTTTTTAAAAAATATTTTCAACTTCAAAATTTTATTTTTTCACCTCAACCCTCGACCTCCCCACCCACCCCCTACCAGCCCCCATCCCCCCAAAAAAATTTAAGTTTATTTTTAAAAAATATTTTCAACTTCAAAATTTCAATTTTTCACCTCTACCCTCAACCCACCCCTACCACCCCCACCCCACCCCAAAAAAATTTAATTTTGTTTTTAAAAAATATTTTCAATTTCAAAATTTATTTTCTACCCTAGTAAAAATAAAAGATATTTCTCAAAAAAAAAATTCATTCATAAATCAAACACTAAAAATCTTTTCCGGAAAATATTTTCTACTAACCAACCAAACATGAGAAAATAAGTCAAAAATCAACTTGTTTTCTAGGAAAACATTTTCTAGGAAAACATTTTCCTTCATACCAAACACACCCTAAGTGTATATCATGACATCATATTAAAATTATCGTATAATAAGTTTGAATGAGTAACTAATGTTTGGAGTAAAATAAGAAAATAATTTGTTTTTATGAATATGTTAAAGTGTATTTATATATATTTGCTATATGTAAATGACTAAGTTATCACCGAAATCATAATTTGAACTTAAATATATATATATATATATATTTATTTATATGTGATAAATGCGCTATATTTATATCTATCCTTACCTACTTTTTTATTTTATTTTATTTTAGGGACCATCATTCATAAAGAATAGGAAAATGCAGGGGGATCTTTTTTCAAAGATAGGAGTATTATAGTATAGTATTATATATATACTCCGATACAATTTTTTATATAGTAATATTTAATGATATTATCAATATTTTATTCATGTTTGATTCTGTTTATTTGATAAAAATCCACAAAAGTGTATCATTTGATTTTGAAAATCATTTATATTAAAAATAATTTTGAAATATCACAAAGTCTTCACTCTTCTCATATTTTCTAATAGTATCTAATGAAAATGCATCCCATAAATAAAGACAGAGGAAATATAATAGTATCAGTTAATGTTCATGATGGGTCTGAATATAAGTAGCTAGATCAACATTAAATTTTGCATGAACGATGAACAATGAATAAATATCACCTTCTGATGCGTGATGTACTTTCGATTTGCTAGCTAGTAACAACTTTTACTGTTTATCTTAAGAGTCAAACGATATGAACTTCGACTAACATTTAAAAATACAAGAGAGTGATATCTAAAATAACATAGGGTAAACAATTTGTTTTAATTTGACACTTTCGATTTAAATTTTGAAAAAAAAAAATGCTAGTCTTATGGATATAGCATATAACTCCGACAACATTACACCCACTTGAAACTAGGATTTTATTTGGAACAAAGAGTTTATTTGGTGATATTATTGGGAATTGATATGAAGAAACAAGCACAAGAAACAGATTCAATAATAAGTTCTATATAGACACACTGTTGGGAATTCCTTTGCCTGTGAGTCCCTCTTCACTTGTGGGAAAGAGCAATGTATATGGAACTTTAACAGGCCCTGACCTGTTCTTCCATTTCTCAGGATCACCATTCATCTGCATAATTCGATCCTCGATATCACTCAACTTCTTTCCAAACCTCTCAAAAGCTGAAAGTGGTTCTTGATCCTTTGTCCATTCAGGTGAATCATTCTGCCCCAGGTAAAGTGTATCCGAAGAGTGCCTTGACAAGAGCTCTATGAGGGAAATTCCAACCAATGTCTGCAGCTGAGGAGTAATTGTTTTGAGGAATACATTATCTGGATTTGTCTTGAGCTCTTCATAATCAGCACTTCCTGGCTCTGGCATGAATTTCCGGCTTAATGTAGGCCGATTAGGGAGATAACCAGCATAAGGGTATTGCCCAAAATTAACTGCCGCATGAAGTGCTGAAGCTATCCATATAGTGATGGTGCAGGAATCTATGAGCTCTTGCACAGTTTGCATTTTAGGCCACCAAGGCTCATCTTTCTTGTCGCCGTGTCCTTCTTCGCGGAGCTCCTTCCACCAGGCTTGGAGTTCAGTGTCTTTCTGTACCGCATCATCTGATTTGTAATAGTAGTTGCAATATTCTGTTACCCAACTTTTGATTGCTGACCAAATTTCCAACCCATCAACAGCATATGGATAGTCCTGAATCAGTAAGCGAACGCCATGTGGGGAGCTTGAGTCCTCAACAGCCACTCCCCTGATTTTGAGTAACATTATGGTCAGGTTAGTAAGAAAACAACACAAAAGATATTGTTTTAGTACTAAGTTTTTACGTGCGTTGTGGCTTTTCATTTACCTTTTGATGAGATCAGCAGGAAGTGCTTGTTCCGGAAAAATCCAGTCTTTGTAAATGACTGATGACAGTTCCATGGAATATTTGGCAGGGAAGACGGTAAATTCAAGAAGTCCGCCACCATTGATTAGGATTTGTCTTGCTAAAGCATTTATGTTCATCGTTTCACGAAAATGAGGAAGGAGAAGCTTATGAATAGGGTGAACCACACTTAGTTGCCTATTTGTTGCAATCACAAATGGCTCGATCACTGTGTGTGTGTTTAACCTGACAAGATATAAACAAAATGCTTTAGATTACTAAAATTTGACAACACATTGGAGTTATGCAGCTAATTTTCGGACAAGTTTTTACCAGTGACTGACGAGCTGATGCACGCCTGAATCATTCACTGCTGCATAGGCTTTGGCCAACTGCCAAATAGAACCCTCAACACCTTGATCAGATGGTGTAAACACTTTGCTAACAGCGCCAAATTGATCTCCATCTGGATGTGGCAAACTTAGTTCAATTGCTAGTGGCTTCAAAGTTCCATCAACTTGCAGAAAGAGCAGAGTTCTTGAGGCATACATTTTTGTGTTTGTTGTCGTGTTTATTCTCCTCACATACGGCATCAGGATGTCATGATGGTTCAATATGAATAGCCTGTTAGTCTTGATTGCCTGTTAAATTGTAGTACCAACTCTTTATCAACTAATATTTGTCACCACAATCTAACATTAAAGTTGATTGAACAATTTAGCTAGTATCAACATAAAAGTAGTAATTACCTCATCAACTGTTAGTGCATCCAACTTATCCTCTATTTGCTCCCTGGTAATTGTACTAGTTTGATTGCCATATATTTTAGGATCCAGCTTGCTTTTTGGAGGGAATTCCTACATATAATAAATAAGCCAACATCTTCAAAATGCACGAAAAATCACTAAAAATAGAAGTAAACTTAAGGTAGCTACTAATATCTTCTTACTTGGAGTCTACTAATTATGACAGGATTGACTCCCGCTAGCATTTCTCTTCCGAATTCTTCATCCGTCCTCCAGGCAGATTTATCCTCTACGTACACCAACGTATAATATTTGGATTACCAAAAGTTGAGAGCGATTAAAAATAATACTATGTGAAATGTGATTTTGATCATGCAGAAATTCAGATAAATACCTTGGATAACTTGAGGTGTCGGGTACTTGAGTAGGCCTTCACCATCAGTAGAGAGGAGTTGTCTTAGTATCTCCAAAGGAATAGCATCAACAATGGCTTTAAACGAAGGACCTTGAGGCAACTTGATTCCACCTTCATAGATTTTAAG